ACCATTCCATGGCTAGAATAGAGGTTGCCGATCGACTTGATGATGTCAGCACTGCTACTATTATAAAACAGTTATGCGAGTTTCTCGCGATGCGTTTTAATGTCTTACGACATGCACGTGATTCAATGGCTGATAGCCAAGACAAACAGACGAACAAGCAGATGATTAAATGAGAAGATGTATTACTAATCAGGTCGGAACCCTAAGTCTTACTGCACGCTAATACCTACTAATGTAGTGTTTGCCGCGTCTAAGACGAAGTTGCGCCCGTGTTTCATCGGATCCTTTACGGTAATGACCAAGAAGGCCTAGCATCTACTCAATTTGCCACGCTAATGCATACACACCCAGTATTCTACGTTAACTTGCTTGAGCCGTGTGGGACCGTCCCACGTGGACGCGGAAGCACTCATGTCAAATTAGTCGGCCTTGACGCAGGCTGTAACATCCGAATTAGGAGGTCCAAGCGTGTCTTTAACCGTGAGAGCTTCATCATAGTAGCCTATAGCCAAGTCTGCATCGCGCTTTGCATTTCACGGAGATGACTCACCCTGACAACTTAATCAGCGTGAGCTTACACCGATTCACCAGCCTTCATATTATAAAGAGGCTTTCTCAGAAAAGTCGTCACAATAGCCAAAATTAGTATTTAGTGAAGTGAATAGGGTATCACGAGTCATGAAAGTCGTGGGAGTATGATATACCCCTTCTGCAAGATTGCCCATAGATTTTAGGCGTCGCGTTCAGAATCATTTTGCGACCGAGTAATGGTGAGTGCAAACAAGCTCAAGAACCGTGGCCTGTCGCAAAATTGCGGCTACAAAGGTAGCCGAAGCACTTGCGTGCTGAGTAATATAAGCATAGCGTTTCAGCGTTGACCGCAACTTGCCTTTGGCCTTTAGATTCACATATATATAGCGAAGCTTCTGTTCTGGTCAAATTGCCGTCATACTAGCACTTGCTAAACTAGCCATCACCTTTGTAAGACGTCGTGTTTGATGCACCCAGCGTATAAGCATATTATCGTCTTTACCCTCTAGTACACCTAAAATCAGGAGGATGGACTTCTTTAAAAGGAAAAAATCAACGCACCTCGTGCTTTCTTAGTAAGATGTGCCTTGTGCAGGCTGTGATTCGTAACGTGCAAATTTTGATTCTGTTGGTGAAGAGACGTTTGCGAAGCAATATCTTACGGTAAAGTGGCTATATGGCCAATATTTTAATCTGATAGTGAATGGACAGCCACCTCTTTGTAGGCGCTTTTTCGCAGATAGTAATTTGTGGTGAAGTGCTGTTTTTGCGATATGGGGACCCCTAAATCCATTTGGATTCGGAGTATAGACCGTAAGTCAAAGACAGGAGACAAGAGAGACAGGGGATTCGAAGGGAAGCGACCGTTGGCGGAGAACAAACTGCAGGACTCATAGAAGAAAAATCAGTATGAAGGTACCGGCTAACCGGTGCGAAAGGAGTGGACCATGGCCTTCCATTGAATGACCCGGTCCCACATCGGTCGACCCGGTCCCACATCGGTCGACCCGGTCCCTCGTTGGTAGACCTGGGTCCCTCATTGGTCGACCCGGTCCCTCGCTGGTATACCTGGATCCCTCGTCGGTCGACCTCGGCCCCTCGGGATTCAGCCACTTCTGACCGGTTTACACAAGGATCAGACCAGTCGACGCAAGGAATCAGAGCTTCAGGAAAGGATAGAGTAAAGGAGTTAAAAGGATAGGACTATATTAAATACTACTCAATTTGCGATCTACGTGGCACGACTCCGTCACCCAAGAAGAACTTGCTCTAAGCTACTCACTGTCCGGGAAGGGATATGTTTTGGTCCCCAATCGAAGATAGTTGTGTAGCGAAGTTCAAGTGCGAATAGAGCTCCAGGATATATTTGGCCTGTGAACTCGGTTGAGTAGCAACACCCCCCCCCCCCCAAGACCCGCTATCGGAAGCGGTCTCCCTTACCTCACGGTCCGGGATTTAAGTAAAGGTAAGGTGGTTGATACCCCTGAAACAACAAGGAAAAGGCCAGGGATAAGCTCCCTGAAGAATTTGGCTGTAAGTCCACTCTCGACAAGGTCGATCGAGTGGCCGCCTACCGGTCCACCGAGTGAAGCATATCCCCTCGAGGCCCCCAGGTCTACCTCCCTCAAGGCAGACGTCTACATCTTCACCAAGTCCTCCGAAGAGTGCAACCCGCCAGCCGACGGGTACACAAGGTGAGAGAAGGTTCATACGCGGCATCAAGGTACCCCCTCCGATAGTCGGCAGTCCGGCACAGTGAGTTGTTTGGGGTCTCATCATACAATTTTGAGAACCCACTCCACCACAAATTTGTAAGACAAATCGTCTTGGCCTTGGAGTCTGGACATACTCTTTGTTCAGCGCTTTGCGCCCTTTCTTATGCAACGGTCCGTTGTTGTTGCTCATCGAGCGGTATAGTGACCGTCGTCATTGACGCTACGTCAAGAGAGACACGTAACGCAGTTAGATCAACCTCAGCACCGTCCAATGTCTATTACAGGCACTCTCAAATTTTCCGATTGACTACGAACAACATCAATATTAGCCGAAGCGCCAGCGCACGGCGAAGTAATCGCATATGGAAGAAGCATTGGCGTAATGGTTCCATGCCAATCAGGCTCGTATTAACATAAGCGGCGATCCTCTTAAAAGAGCACAAGGAAGATACTAATCCGTCTCTTTCCGGACCATACTTCTTTAGATTCTCCATCGGCTGGATCGAGTCGGACGACTTTTGTCATGGGACCCGATCTCACCGCCGCTTTGGAGAGAATAGATCTCTTGACATAGAGCTCATTGAGGACGAGAGGTTAAAGATTTGTAGCTCTTGGATCAGTACGAGATCACAATCTATACTTTAAATATAATGAAATTGCTTTATAGGATGCGTAAAAGCTCAGAAATGCATTGAAATTGTTTATCCAGGGTAATCATAGAAAAAGCTTCAACTACTTAGTGGACCCTTTTTCACTATCAAGCATCTCGGAGGTCGGAAGCAGTACGAAGAGCGCCTCACACTTTATGTAAGCTGCAATGGTGATGGTTCTGACAAGCTTCCATTGTGGTCATCGGGAAATCTAAGAGTCTGCGTTGCTTTAAGTACATCAACCTCAACAATTTCGGTTGCGTTTATTGCGTTAATGCGAAGGCTTGGATACCACCTTATCTTTTTCAAGTGAATCAAAGCATCTGATCTTCGGGTGGATGATGGAAGGGTATCACTCATCATGAACATTTTCAGTGGACAAGTTCCTCTGACTGAACTTTCCGCTCGTACCTAGATAAGGATCAAAGCTTTCTTTACGTATTGGTTATGATAAACCTTCTTAGTTATCCAGATGAGAAGGTGGCAGATGAGATGCCTGCTAGCCCTCGGCGAAGTTATTCAGGAGCACCAGCCCACAGAGGTCAACGATGCGAGTGTAAATGGAGACGACAGTGACGAATTCCTTCCCATTCCAGCGTTCAACGCGCAGATGATGATCCAGTAGCTCTAAATCTTCCGGTGGCATCAGTCGGATATAGAGAACTATTTCATGAGGGCATTGTAGCGGATGAGGGACAAGTTCCGGGCGATGAGAACACGTTTAATGGTGCAAAAAGGAACATCCGTAAAATTCACATGTGCAGAATCACTAAGCACCTCCGCCCTCGCTGTCCGTTGCAAAAACAACTTCAGAATCGGCAGAGCCCTAACCGTGCTCCTAGCCAAAAGGCGAGGACGACAGGGAAAACGTCAATTTTTACTAGGCGCGGGGCGCCCTACTGATACAAAAAACTAAGTTTTGTGGACCTTCTAGGCGGTAAAGGTAAACAGATCTTAGCCCCAGGTGGCTCAGTTAAAGCTTTCATAGAGGCCAGGCTTGTTATTTGTTTTGGCAACCATTAAAGGTTTATAAGAAGTCATGATCAATTTTGATTGACTCTGGGGCGTCGGGTTATATATGTCCGACGAAGGACATTTAAAGCTAATTTACACGAATTTGAGTAGCACGCATGCAGAATAAATTAGCTTACGAAAATTGAGGGACCGAGAAAATATATCGGATAATAAATTATGGAGGTTTATCAGTTTTAGTATGGGCACGTGCTCGAGACTGGCGATTTATAGCAGTTTAGACAGGATATCGGTTGAGGCAGTAACATTTTAGACCGTAATTATCGTGTGCTATACACCGCGATGGGGCAAGTTTTGGATGTGATTGTGGTTTTTGTGCTGTGTGGTCAGTTTTGGTTTGATTGTGGGTGTGGTCGGTGTGTGGAATCAGCTAAACTGATAGTCTTCGCTAGCTAATAAAACTTGTGATCTCAAGATTACTCGATTAGACAAGTTTTACTGTAATGTTCTTGCCTTTCCTGTAGTTGGATATGACCTCTGTTTGACTGATATAGGCCATGATATACGCTGGCCAATGAAGGATAAACGCGCGCAATCAACGTACTTAGAGTAAAGTAAGGTTATAAAAGATTTGTTTATAGATGCCTTCAACTGTATTGACATAGATACTGTATGCTGCATTTTGCCGTCGGCAATTGCAAGCAGAAATTGGTTCTGTGCAATGGTTCCACAGCTACCGCTCCAGAAAGTGTTCTACTCACAGATGAAATCTCGGTCGTCGCTGAAGGAAAGGTCGCTTGTTTCATTTTTGCTTCGCAACCGCTGAGTAGATGGATCACTATAAATACGTGTGGGCTACGGTGGTAGCCACTTGTACGTCCTACGCTTCTTTTTAGACCGCTATCCTCCACGTCTGGCTTGTAAGGAATGCTGGGGCCAGCTGAAGTGCTATTCGATAAACATAAGCCGAAAGTATATTAAACAATTCATGTAAAACCATATAATCTGCCATGTCTTTACTGTACTACTTGATCATACACCTAAATTCTATGTTTCTATTCTCTATTAAAGCATAAAAACAACTAAATCTACAGCTAAGAATTTTGCACAAAGTCCTCGCCAACCGTCGATTATGGCTACTCCTGTCAACGCTGCTGCCGATGTCTCCGTCCCCATTGCATCTAAGTTAGAACCAAACTCATCGTCAACTTCCTCTGCATCTTATGCATCCAGCGCCGTGTCTGCCCCTCTCAACCGGCACTCCGAAGCTGCGCAATCCACCGATACCGAAGCTTTAACGGATCATGACGACTTGGAAGGTGCTAGAACCGTCGCTGTTCCACGCTGCAGCACGTGGTTTGCCATGGACAAGATCAATCCCATTGAAAAACGCATGTTGCCGGAATTTTTTGTGGAAAACGGGTCCAAAACGGCAGAAATCTACCTCAAATACCGCAACTACATGGTGCACGCCTATCGCCAGCAGCCGAGCTTGTATCTGACGGCCACAGCTTGTCGTCGCAATTTGGCAGGTGATGCTTGTGCTATTCTAAGAGTGCACGAGTTTTTGACCCACTGGGGGCTCATCAACTTTCACGTGCCACCGCACGCGATGCCCCCCGTCATTCACTCGACCTACGCTTTAAAAACTGCACAAACTATTGCACAAACTACTGCTAACAATGGACATCAGGGCCCCATAGCTATGCTCGTGGCTGCTAAAAAGGAAAACGCACGTCGGGTGGATCTCCCGTTACCGTGTGAAGCTTGTGGTACCGCTAGAGAAGCCCAGGACGCGTTCTTTGAACTCACGTCCGAAGCCAAGAAGAAGCTGACGAGCTATGGAGCGGCAACGAGTGTTGGCAGTGCGAACTTCATATCAAATGGAGCAAATGGAAAAGCTGGTGAAGGCAATGAAGTGATAGTCGGAGGCTTCGCGTTGAGACCTGGCAGTGGCATTTGTGACGAGTGCTTCATTCGTGGGGCTTTTCCAGAGGGGTACGATGCGTCAGATTTTGTATTGTGTCCGACAGTGGCGAGAAATCTTTTGGCAAAAACAAAATGGACTGAAGAGGAAACCAGCCTGATGTTGCACGCTGTGAGCAGCACAAGAACCAGCAGGATCAAGGGTGCAGAGAACGAGGAAGACGATGGAAGCTGCGACTGGAACTATGTGGCGTCGAAGGTTGGCTCCAAGACGGCAGACGAATGTTTGCTGCACTTTCTGGAAATGCCATTGCTGGACCAACCGTCGCAGACTCAGAAGCCAAGGCTAGGAGACTCGATTCAGTCATTGCGACCGTTTGCTACTGGAGCAGTTTTAAACGCGCCTGTGCTAGATCTGGCTGCTCTTGTGGAACACGTTGATCCGCTGGTTGCGAAGGCTGCAGCTCATGCTGCAATTGGTGCCGTTAAGCGGTTGCACACAATGCAAGTAGCACCAACGACTTCGCCGCAGCTGGAGACGCCATTGAGCATGGAGAATAACGGTTCAACGGGTACAGCTGGAGTCAAGGTAGAAAGCATTCCAACTTTGTCAGGCCCAGCTAAGATGCTTGATAGCTCGCTTGAAGGCGTAGCGGCGGCAGTTGCCAACAGTGCAGAGGTCGCAGGAATCGGATCTACTATCAAGTCGGAGGACATAGCCGCGGACGGTGATGTGGCCATGGAGGATACATCGTTGTCAACCGCAACAGTCGCGTCAAAGGAGGGAGACGACGATAAAAGCAATGCTGTATCTGTCTCGAAAGAAATGATCGCGGTCACGGAAGAAGCAGCCAACGCCACAACAATTGCATTATTGGCAACAAGGTCACAAGAAATCGCCGATAACATTGCGAATGGACCTATAAAGGATCTTGTGAACCAAATGTTGGAGAACCAGCTGCGTCATATGGAATTGAAGATGCAGCAGTTGGCTGTGCTAGAGCAGGCAATCGTTGCTGAGAAGGAACAGCTCGCCAAGGAGAAGTACCAGCTTTATGTGGACCGGCTTGCCTTTTCTCGCGAAAAGATAAACGGTCGTTCGTCGCAGCTTGGACCCTAAGTCTTATTTTGTATGTAAATGAAGCTCTCAAGTGGTAACCTGCGCCCGACGACTCAAACGCTGAACGACACTAAAAATAAAGGCGTTACGACACATGACTTTACTGTGGATCAGTAAGTCTCGCTTTTTAAATGCACAGCATATCATTAGAAACGTGTACGCCTTGTCGTAATTGTGATTGTTGCATACTTGTGCAGCTTTAGTTACTCAATAAGCATGTCGTATGTTTGCCCTAGCATTCATACAGACTGAATTTATTTTTCTTTTGAAGCTAACAATAATGCTTGCTGCTTTGAATGAATGATAGTGTCGAGGGTCTAATCAAGCATTAAGTGCACAATTTGCTCCTCAAATTGGTGACCATCCGAGCGTTAGTCGCCGGAATACTTTATCATGCGGCCAAGTCCTCCGTAAGGCATAATGTTGGGCTACTTGTTTGTATCATAAGAAAGGTTTGATCGCTTTGCTACTTTTTCCTGACCTTGTATCAATGCAAGTATGTGTATCATATAACCAATAATGTCAATCGCGATTACACATCTTGTCTTTGCAGCATCAGATTCAGTCAATTGACGTATGCCTGTCTCGAGTGATTTTGAGGTAGCAAATCGGCATAAACCCATTCAGGATTGGTGGTAGGTTCTTGATGTAATATTGTTCGCGCTATTTATAAGTTGGATCCAATGTTATGAACCAAACGATACATTGATTTGTGAGCCACAGTCGGTGATTTCATTTTAGTAACACTTCGTTGTCTGAATGCCGCTTGCCAGCCAAATAAGGATAGTTAACATCAGTCTTAGTATTTTAGAGATTATAAAGAAAAGATAGATTTGGAAGCAACTGAGCAGCACAAGTGCTACTTCCTACTTGCATCGAAGCACTAAAGCCTCAAGATGTGTGTATGTAGAGCAGCAGCGTCTTATTCCTTCCGATGTTAAGTCCAGTTATGGCAACCTCTTTTCGCCACTTAAAAACACTTGCGGTGCACGATCGACGGGCCCGATTCATCGTACTCGGCCTTCGAGATCCACATCTGCTGGAATGTCGATAACGACGACAAGATGGAACCACCAATCCACACCGAGTACTTGCGTTCAGGAGGGGCAACCACCTTGATCTTCATCGTAGACGGAGCAAGAGCCGTAAGTTCCTTCGTCATCCGTTCACCAACACCAGGGTACATTGTGGTACCACCCGACAGGACAATGTTGCAGTACAAATCCTTACGGATATCAACGTCACACTTCATGATGGTCTGGAATGTGCAGTCATGAATACCTGATGCTTCTTTTCCAATAAGTGACGGTTGGAACAGCACCTCAGGGGTACGGAAACGTTCATTGCCAATGACAATGACGTTACCATCTGGCAATTCGTAACTCTTTTCGAGTCCCGATGATTCAGCAGCAGTCTTCATTTCTTGATCAAAATCCAATGCAATGTACGTAAGTTTCTCCTTAATATCACGCACAATTTCTCGTTCGGCTGTCGTAGTAAACGAATACCCACGTTCCGTCAAAATCTTCATCATGTAATCGGTCAAATCACGACCTGCGAGATCCAGACGCACAATGGCATGGGGTAACGCGTACCCTTCGTAAATGGGTACAGTGTGGGACACACCATCACCGGAATCCAGCACACAACCCGTGGTACGACCCGATGCGTACAACGACAGGACAGCTTGGATGTTTACATACATGGCCGGGACATTAAAGGTCTCAAACATAATTTGTGTCATACGTTCCCGATTTGCTTTAGGGTTGAGGGGAGCTTCCGTCAACAAGACCGGGTGTTCTTCCGGAGCCACACGAAGCTCATTGTAAAAAGTGTGGTGCCAAATCTTTTCCATGTCGTCCCAGTTCGTCACAATACCGTGTTCAATGGGATATTTCAACGTCAAAACACCACGTTTTGACTGAGCTTCGTCACCGACGTAAGCGTCTTTCTGGTCCATGCCGACCATGATACCCAAATGTTTGGGACGGCCTACGATGGATGGGAACACGGCACGGGGAGCGTCATCACCGGCAAAACCGGCTTTACACATACCGGAGCCGTTGTCTACGACCAAAGCTTGAACGTCTTCGTCAGCCATTGTATAAGAGGAGGGAGTAGAGATGGAAGGAGGAGGAGGAGGAGGGAGATCTGCGACCAAGTGGAAGAAATGAAAAGTGAGCTATGGGAGCAAAAGAGCCAGGGGATTGATACTTTAAGATGGATGGGTCAGCCCTCCTATCGAATAGTGAAAGTGAGTGATAAGGGAGATGTCAACTGGCCTAGTGACGTGTCGTACGACTATATTGAAACTAAGTACTCGTGCGTCGCTGCTTCGTTTCAATCTGACGCTTTGCGGTTAAATGAGGTATGTACCTTAAATAGAGGAAATAAGCGGTGCTTGTTACTTCTAAGAGTTCTCGTTGAATAGATATATTTGCATGTATTTAGGCTACACTTTGCACTGGTAGCAGTTTATCGACGAAGTTGTCATCATTAGTATATGTTACAACACTTAACGCTATTTGATAGATAAGGAAGCAGAGGTACATTATAGTCATTCACAACTGGGACTAGAAAGCCTCGTCGATATCGAGTCGAGTTGTCGTAAGCTTCCGCTAATAAGCTTTCGCACGTCAGTGTCTCATAACAAAGATACAGATACGGATCATAAGGTTTCGCACTCAAAAAAAGTGCTGGTACGTCCGATCGTGTGGTCAACTTTTACTTCAGTGGCTTTACTATTCTCTAAACCCGTATCGCGCTTGTCACTTGGTAACTGTAAGTGAGATCCCAACTTTCTAAACCCGTCTGAGACATCCTGGGTTTAAACACACTGTACTGAATACAGTTCTAGCAATCCATCGAAGCTAAAGCTATCTCATTCGAAGCCATGGCAGGCAATGATGTCATGTTCATGAGCCACGCACATTTTATATATTTAGTATCTTGCAAAAACAAAAAGTACAAAATAGGCCTACATTTGCTCGATAATGCGTCCGTAAACGACCGCTCTGGAGTCTGTCATAAGCGTTAAACGCAACAAGACAACAACAGCAAAACATGTAGTGCTTTTCTATAGTATATAGCCACTTCAATCGGACCTAACAATGACAATGAAAGGCACCCTTCCAAGCATACGTTTGCTGATCTATGGCTGTCTTAGCTGCGGGTGGTCCAGGTCAAATTAAAGTTTATAAACACGTTCCAACACAACCAGCTAACTTAGAGCCAATAATGAATGTGTTGGGACCAATTACTCTATGGAGATCCCATCACTTCATTTTTCATGGCGTGCAATCGTCGTTAACGAGGACACGTTAATCTTTAGAAGTGCTCTTTTTTGTAAGATCGATCGTCGAGCAGGCGAGCAAACGTCATCTTCACTAAATTCACCTGCATGGCGCAAGGAGCCTGGCTGACATCGGCGACTTGCAATTGTTGTCACTTAAAGGATTGAGTCGAAGCTTTTGCATGATGGGCGCATTTTCGAAACGATCATTATGTACGAGTTCAATTTGAGTTGCCAAGCACTATCCCTGCTCGCCTTTTGTAACGAGTTAAAAGTTAAACGGGTCGTCAAGTATCAAATACTTAACGGGCAGGCCTAAAAGGGTACGAGGTACCTTAGGCCTGCCACTTGTGTGAGGCACATAAATGTGACCCCCCTCGTGAATATGATATCCATAAATGGATTCACATTCAGCAGGGATGACGCCCAGTTGGGACTAGGCGTCATGGTGACACTTCAGACAGACGTCACCTGCGAGCTTAAATATATTTCAAGCTCGCACGTAGGGATACGCTTCTAAAGCGCCGCGTATCCAATCTTTGCATAATTAACCAATCAGTAGTTAGATTTATATTTAGTTAAAATTTATTAGATATAAGTCAGTCTTGAATTTACAAATTACCGTCTCTGCGCACGAGAAGCTGTATAAGCTTCTGCGTGTCGTAAGTAAAGTGCTTGTTGAATTTCGTTACGCGGTTCGCTTACAGCGACCGGCAACGGTTGGTACTGTGCTTTAAGCGCCTACTACAAAACCACCCTTGCACGCGAAGGTAAGACGGTCTAACCGCTTCCTCGCTTGTGCATAAGGTGTGTGCTCGTAGTACGAGGCAACTTCGTATAAGTGCCCGTCTACACATGGTAGCACTAGTAGTCCTTCCCATGACCCGTCTATCTGAGCGTGCGTGTGGTTAAGATGGTCCTTAATATGGACTGCAGTGACTTCCCTCACCTCTCCCAACATCATAGGGAGTTGGCAGAGCATATGGCGCAAGGACTTGGTGAACAAGCCCTGGTCAATCTCTTGCATTGTCCTCCTGAGCAACACGTTGCTCAGTTAGAGCAATTCGAGACGTTTGTGCTCGGACAGCGTAGAAACGCATCCGAGGTAAACAGCCAAGCCACCGCTGAGTCCATCACTAAGAATCAGGATGAGCTTAGGCTTGAGCAGGCACGTAATGAGGCGCTCAACAGAACTGTTGAGACGCTCTCTGCCCGGCCTAATCAACCGAGGCCCATTCGGATGGACCTCCGAAGTTCGATGGGACTACCCCTCACACGATTGTTCACTGGCTATTAGCAGTTGAGCAATGTGGAGTGGCGCAGCCCATCGAAGTCGACACCAGAATGGTGCAGTACGCCATGTCCAACTTGCGTGGCAAAGCGTCAGAGTGGGCATACTCTGCGCTGATGGCAAATGCTGATGCATTTCCATCATGGGCGATCTGTAAGTCAAAGATTCGCGCCATGTATCAGCCGCCTAACAACGAAGTGTTGCTTATGGCGCGCTTCTTTGGAGCACGACAGGCGAAACGATCTCTGCAAGAATTTGTGCAGGAGATGCGTCCGCTGTCGGCGTCCATTACTGGGAAACCGATACCAGAACGTATCGAGGTGGCCACGTTCATGAATGGACTTAAGCACGGCCCATCGCGTCAGGCCCTTTTCAGAAAGGTGCCAGCGACGATAGAAGAGGCAATTGACATTGCCT